TCTACAAGTGAATCAATGACCTCAAATCAAAAAATTTATTCAAATAGACATCACATAGGGTTTTTACTTAGGTTTAACTATAGGTCAGGCCGGATTTACTTAAGTTTAACTATAAGTTGGGCCGGGCTGGGCTTAGGCCGGGCTATTTTAGCAAAGCCCGAGCCCGGCTCGAATTTTATGCGGGCTGGGCTTTTTGGCCCGAGGTTAAGCCCACGGGCCAAAATTCCTGTTCAAGCCCGTCCGGGAGTTGGGCCGGGCCGGGCTGGCCCGTCGGGCCACCCGGCCCATGAACAGGTCTAGCTGTACATATGTTTCTTTCCTTGTTGGCTTCCAATTTAGGTTGTCGACCTATTCTCTAGTTGTATTTTTAGCTCTATAAATAGGTTGTAACTTGTTGAATGGATATCATATATCTTCCTTGCTCTTTCGTATCAATAACAAAACAATGAATGATTTTCTTGTTGCTTATGCTACAAGCGACTCTCCACATAGCTTTTTGAGCAAAATATTAACTACTTGCCAAGAAAGTTTTTGTATGAGTTATTGTTACAAGTTGGAAACCGAAGAAGTACAAAAACTTCAGAATTCTGAAAACGAAGACAAGTTGATCGTCATCGGCAGAATGGTTATCGGCGTCGACGTTGGGGATGGATTGGAGGAGGAGGTGCAGGGTTAATGCTTATCTATCCTTATTATTTCAAAAAATTATTATTATGGTTAAATATTAACAGAAGGGTTGAAATGTCAATTTAACCCTTTCGATAAATCACTTTGAAATCAATTCTCTCTCCTCCCTACCACTTTCTCTCTCACTCTTCACCTCCATTGCACACAGTGGGATGTCAAGGAAGGCATCGTCGCCACCGCTACAACACTATCGCTACCGCTGACGGAAATTATCTTGCCAACGAAAATAGCAGAGGAGATGGTAGAACCTCCACCGGTCGTTACTATTGCAGACTCTCCCTCCCCAGTTATTGTACAACTAGAACATCTGGAGCCACAAGTGGCTACCCGTACGGAACTTCACATAGGGGCTCTTGTTAGCATGGGCCTTCACGATTTGAATGAAGACCGACAAATTGGCCTGTGATGACCCTTGGCGCGCATTCCCCGTTAGGTCTCCCAAAGATCTATGATGACCCTCATTCTCACCGTATTCGCCAGGTTTATACGCTGAAATCCGCTTGCTCTCACCGTCAATAATCATCAAGAAAACTGTAGCTTCTTGGTGGAGAAGCCGTTGCTCGATCTATTTGCTGGACCCTTTAGTTTACTATGAAGCCCAAGACGGTTGTATCACTATATGAAATATTGTGTGAATCAGGAATTCATGATTGCTGAAGTCGATTCCTCTTAGAAGGAAGCTTGCCTATGAAACTCATCCCTTTCTCTCTTCTCAGTTCTAGGTTCCTCTGTTTTGTAAATTCTCTTCCCTCCCTCCCTCCCTCTCTCTCTCTCTCTCTAATTTCTTCTTGATCAAGACAAATCCAGAAATCCAAACAAAAAGCATAAGCCCTTTCTCTCTCTCTCCATCACTTGTTCTCTCTCCACCCGCCCTATTTAGCGGCTTCAACCCTGAGTCCCGCCGCACTACTGTAGTTGCTCTGTTTTTGTTGCATTTGTTGAAGCCTTCATCAGTTGCTCCAAGGACAACAAAAAATAGGAGACGGGTTTGGTTATCCAATACGTATTGCAAAAGCGAGAAGAGGGTAAGATAATGGAGAATGGAAGAAAAAGAACATGAGAGAGAGAGAGGGATTTTGGGTGTAACATGTAGCTCCCCAACACAGAACAACACCCACTCTCTACCACTTACATTCTGGGATTCACACTGGTTCGCTCATGCTGCTTTTGATATGGTGTTTTCTGTCCAAACGCCACTACGCCCCACTGGGGATGGTGCTGGTTCCAATAAAAGGAGGAGGTGCCGAAGCGGGACAGTGAGGGTATGACCGGAATGATGCCGATGAGGTTATTCCGGGAAACATCGAAGACTAGAGGGAGGATTGGTTGAGTAGAGGGATGGCGCCATCTAACCGATTACCATCAAGCACAAGATAGTAGAGCCAGACCAGAGTAGTCAAATTGGAGGGGGCTGGGCGTGTGAGGTGACGAAGAAGAAGAAGAAGAAGAAGAAGGGAGAGGGATTACGGGTATAATTGGATTCTAAAAAATTACATGTTGCGTATGTATAAATTTTGCCGAATATTAATAAATCCTACAGTAAAGTTAGAGTTAGTCAATTATAAACAATAAGGATAGACAATTATGAAATAATAGGGTAGTTTAAAAAATTTACCCAAAACATTTAAGTTTTGGTATTTGGGAGTTAACAAGATGGCAAACCAAGTAGATCACATCTTCTCCTTACATGGGGCCGCCCCACAATACCACATAGCACATTCCCGCCGTATATTGAAAATATTTTTCGATACCAAAATCGATGATATCATCATCATCGGAAGATATTCTCAATACACGGCAGAAATGTGATATAGAGCGTTGTGGGGCGGCCCCTCGTGGGGAGGAGATGGGAATTCCTAACGGACGTCCCATTAACTCCGCACGACTTGGGATGCGTGTGAGGGAACACGCGGCGAGACCCTATTGTTTGGGACGTTTTTGGGGCGCCAGCCTAGTGGCGCAGATTCGAACTCTTCGTGTTCCACTTTACCATCGGATGCCGCGCCCTTTTGGCTAAGAAAGCATTGAGGAGACGAGAATTGACGTCGATATACATATTCTGATGCCAGACGTTATATAAGTTGATTCGGAATTAAAGTGGCTGTAGGCGAAAAGAACTGCGTTAGTGCTCTCTCATCAAGCAATCGAAATCGAGTGAGACTTACCTCCGACTGGAAATGCGTGGGCGGGGGAGAAGAAGCCCTTCTCGATATGAGAATCACCGAAGTTTCACTGTACCTGTAAGTAGTATTTTTTATTTTTTTTTCGGTTTCTGTTACTGTTTTTTTTTGTGCAATCTTCATCATCTTTTTCTTCTTTGGTAGACTCTTTTTCTTGTTCTTTGACGCCAAAACAGGGGCTTCCGCCCTTCTATTTTTTTTTTTTTTATTCCGTTTGACACTAAATAGGGCCTCCGCCCTTCATATTCTTCCCCTTATACAAATATTTTGCCCCTTCATCTTTAGATAGATCACACAAAAACTGGGTCTCCGACCTCTTATTGTTTTGTCTTTTTCTGATATAAAACAGGGTACTACTCCCCATTTTTTCCAATTTTAATTTGACACAAAAAGGACTCCGCCCTATTTTTTTTTCACCTATTTTTGTAATGCGAAACAGGAGCTCTGCTCCATCGTGTTTTCAGCCTTTTTAACATAAAACAGGGGCTCCGCCATTTTTTAACATTGAAACAGGGTTTGCTCCTCATTTTCTCCTATTTTTTTTAACACAAAACAGGGGATCCGCCTCATGTTGTTTTGGTAAGGCATTTGTATTTGAATTCTGAATCTCTGAAGATTTCTTTGTTAGCTCCAGTGTGGTAGTGTTAAGTCTTTATTTATGTTAATTTGATGGACATGATTTGGCTTATAACTTGTTAACTCCTTATGTAAGTCTTCATAAATGTGCTATTTTGTTGAATTATCATGTTCTTGGATGTGTGTTAGGCTGAGCAATTATATCTCTCTTATTTTAGTATTTTTCATGAATTGCATGTTTGACTTAAAATTGAAAACTCAGGTCGATCTGAGTGGACAAAGGCAAATTTTGAATAGAAGAGGATCATAATTTATTAATATATACATATATACATATATATGTGTGTGTTTGTATATATACATGAGATAAGTAGATAGAGATAAGCAAAACAAACAGATTATCTGGATAGAGACTAGGAAGAGATAAGGGGCTAGATACTAATGCTTATCGGATTGTAAGGTGGTTGCATGGAGGGTTACATGAGATAAGTAATATATATTAATATATACATATATACATGGATCATAATTTATTAATATATACATATATATGTGTGTGTTTGTATATATACATGAGATAAGTAGATAGMGATAAGCAAAACAAACAGATTATCTGGATAGAGACTAGGAAGAGATAAGGGGCTAGATACTAATGCTTATCGGATTGTAAGGTGGTTGCATGGAGGGTTACTATGCTACATAACCTTATCGGTAATACTCCCCCTCAAGTTGGCGACTAGATGGTACGAATCAACTTGGACCTTAAGTGATGAAAAACTTCTCGTCCCAAGGGCTTGGTGAATATATCAACAATCTGTTGTGAGGAAGGAATATGTTGAGGATGAAGTAAGCCACATTGTATTTGTTCCCGTATGAAATGACAGTCCATTTCAATATGCTTGGTGCGCTCATGGAATACTGGGTTGTTGGCAATGTAAAGTGACCTGATTGTCACAATGAAGAACCACCGGCTGGAGGGGAATGCCAAGGTTGTGAAGTAGAAAGGAGAGCCATTGTATTTCACGTGATGTCGTGGCCAAGGTGTGGTATTCAGATTCAGCAGAGGAGCGTGCCATAGTGGACTGTTTCTAGGATTTCCAAGAGATGGGGCTGGGGCCAAGAAAGATGTGGTAGCCAGTAACTGATCGTCTAGTAGATGAGCAACTGCCCCAGTCTGAGTTACATTATGCAGTAAGAGTGAGAGATCCACTGGAAATAGGAAAATTCCATACCTACAGTGAACCTGATGTAACGTAAAATATGCAAGGCAGCATTCCAATGGAGCTCATGGGGATTTCTCATGAACTGACTGAGGGAATTAACAAAGTAAACCAAATCTGGTCAATGATGGTAAGATATTGCAAGCAGCCAATCAAGCAGCGGTAAACAGAGGGATCGGAAAGAGGCATGCCCATGTTTTTGTGTAATTTGATATTCTGCTCCATGGGAAATTCAGAAGGACAACAATCTGAGTACTTGGTGTCAGATAATATGTCAAGTGCATACTTGTGCTGAGATAGAAAGATGCGTGAAGAATTTCGTGCAACCTCAAGACCCATAAAATATTTCAGAGGTCCAAGATCTTTGATGTGAAATCAATAGCACAAGAATTCTTTCAGAGAGGTTATTGATGTGGAATCATTGCCAGTCACAATGGTATCATCAACATAGACTAGGACGACAATGAAGGAAGCAGCAGAGCCCTTTGTGAAGAGTGTATTATCAGCTTTGGACTGAGAGAAGCTGGCTGCAAGGAGTGCATTACAGAACTTCGAAAACCAGTTTTGAGAAGCCGGTTTTAAACTATAGATGGACTTGTGAAGTTTGCAGACTGTGCGCTCCCTTGTCTACTGAAGTCAGGAGGAAGTTGCATGTAAACTTCTTCATTGAGATCACCATGAAGAAATGCATTATGGACATCAAGTTGAAAGAAAAACCTATTCTTAATGGCTGCAATAGCAAGTAAGCAGCACACGGTGACCATTTTAGCAACCGGTGCAAATGTGTCAATGAAGACCAGTGAAGCCTTCGGCGACCAGACGAGCTTTGTAGTGCTCAGTGGTGCCATCAGACTTGTATTTGATTTTATATACCCATTTACAGCCAATTGCGTGCTTGCTAGGTGGCAAATCAGTGAGAGTCCATGTATCGTTGTCTTGCAAGCTTGAATTTCAGCAGCCACGGCATCACACCAATTGGGGTCATTGATGGCTTGGGAATACGATGTGGGTTCAGTGTTGTGAGAGAGAGATGTAAGAAATGCCATGTGGGATGGTGAAATGTGGTGGTAAGAAAGAGACATACCTTGTGACAAGGTCGGCGACAGAGATGGACGTTGAGCGGAGCAGCAGTATTCGGATGGGACAGCTGAGAATGTGATCTTACCGTTCAGAGAGGGGTGAAGCACCAAAAGTTATCCATCTTATTTCTGTTTAGACTCTTTTCTAATTGAGTTTGAATCAAGTTTCCAGCACTGTCAACCCAATAAGTTATGACAATTGCATACTTATAAACTACATTGCAAAATTGAATTAGCCATATATTGGTTTCATCATCATTAATTTGTATTGGTGACTATTATGCATAATAATTACATATCGTCTAGAGCTTTAGGTCACACTGGGATATACTAAATAGTACCTTCTGTTCTGGTAGTGATGAAGTATTATCTTGAAAGTAATACTTATTCCATTGCATTTACCGAACTAGAAGAGAATGGTATATTTTCTAGAAGACACTGCACACACAAACTGGTGGATTCTAATGATATATTCCTCATTGTTGTGGCAAGTTTGCATTGAAATTTAGAATCTGATATAATGTGCAAGTTACCAGGTTGGAATATATTACTCATCAGTTGTAAATTGTTTTTCTACACATACCAAAAGAATGTCATCAGAGGTTAGTTTTGAATATCTGACCTAGTCGATATTTCACATACTGCTGTTGACCTGTTGTGCATCAGACATGGATGATATTCTGTTGACTAGGCTGTTTGTACTTTGTACAGTAATTGGTGGGAATTTTAAATCTTGAAATTGCAGAAAACCATGGAATTTGCTTTGTACAACATGAATCTAGTGTTTTTCTTTTTTTTTTTCTTATGCTAATCAAACCTAGTGTGTTATATATGATTGAATTGTTTTCTCGTCCTTGACTGTAGTTTGTGGTCATTGCTGAAGCTCATGTTTTGATTGCCAATCAACAGGGTAGTGTTTCTAGATTTGCTCCTTCTGTTCGTAATGATGGATCCTCCTTTCATGGAAAACCACCACAAACCATGGAAGAAAAGGAAGGAACTAATAATTCAAAGCTTCCCACAGCAGTTGTTTGTTCTCCTTCTGAACAGGGTGGGCTTACTCTACCTGCTTGTATTGGTGACAAGGACAGACTACCTCATGTGGAGAGACCTCAGTATGATAGGACTATGCTCAGTGCTGCAGTGGACTGTTATTCTAAAGATTTCGAATCCTCATCAGTGCCTAATATGGGTAGCATGGGCATACCATCCTGTACCCAAAAATCTCAATATGGTCAAACTTCAATGGAGAGGAATGTTGACAATGTTTCAACACAACCTGCACACTTTCCCAGTTCTGCAAATCTGGAGGATGAGCCTATTTTTTGTTTTAGTGAAGATAGGGATTCACTAAATGGAAAATCTCAACACAGGAAAATTTCACCTAAAAAATCTGTAGGCAACAGTTACTCAGGGCAGCCTGAATTCTCACCGAACATTTTGCCCTTTGATATCTGCCATGTCAAAAGTAGAAACGTAGTATCACTGAAGCCTTCTCTACTTGAAAAGAACAGAGAAAAGCGAAAGGAACTTGAGCGCTTCAAGAGAAGTCATCAACTTCTAAGGCCAGGGATGGTTCTCTTAAAGAGTTATATTAGTCCAAATGATCAGGTGGTCTATTCTTCCAACACATACTTAAGTTTTGTATGCTCCTTCCTTCTTGACACATTTATTGAATGCATATTCCTTTACATGAATCTTTAGATGTAAGAACCATTCACTTATTGTTCATATTGTTCAAGCAAGGTTCAAAGTATCGTTATGATACGAGTTTCGGTCGTATTGTATCGGTACATAGAAACGGCTGAAACTCTATTTTTTTAGTTTTTTTTTCAAATTTTGGTTTTTTGGGAAGCTTTTAGCATGCTTTTTATTATTAAAAAAAATTGGGGGTCCGAAACTCCTGGAAACAGGCATTTCGGACCTTATCTTTTTCATCCCTTTGAATGGTAAAAATTGTTGTAAGATAATTTTATAATTCTGGTTTATAGAAGCACAAAATGATTTTTTTTTATTTTTTCATCCCTTTGGAGTGGGACTTCTTTTACAATGAAGCCATTAGTCAGTTCTCTATATGACCATCTCCTGGTAGTACATTATATATGCCAAGGGCCATGAGTATTGATTTGAGTTCATGAGTACTTTTTTACTATCCAAAAAGAAAGCTTCCGAGTACTTTTATGTGTGGAATTCATTTCTCCTGCAAGTAGCTGTTTTTTTCTATAATTTTTTATGGGCTCTTCTATGTATTTGCACTTTTCTTCCAGGTCAAGATTATAAAGATATGTCGACAACTTGGTCTGGGCCCTGGAGGATTCTATCAACCAGGCTATCGAGATGGTGCAAAACTGCATATACAAATGATGTGTCTTGGTAAGAACTGGGACCCAGAGACAAGATTGTATGGCAATCAAAGGGCAACAGATGGCGCAGAGCCTCCGTCAATTCCTGACGAACTCAAAGATTTGGTTAAAAGAGCAATGCAGGACACCCATGCCTTTTTAAAACAAGAGATAAAAACAAGCAATGTGGAAGAAGCACTTCCTGCAATGTCCCCTGATATATGCATTGTCAATTTCTACTCAACTAGTGGGAGACTTGGCCTTCATCAGGTTAGAAAATTATTTTATGTATATCCATGATTTGGAGTAATATATAATTTCTGTTTGTTTGTGTGTGTGCGTGAGAGAGAGAGAGAGAGAGAGAGAGAGAGAGAGAATTCAGGGGTTTGTAATCCTTGAATGCTGAAATGGTTGGAAACTTTCTAGCGAAACTGAATGACACAAAAAGCTTACAAATATATGAAATTATGAAGGAATTTCTTATTATATTATGAATTTTGATCAACCATGACTTTCTATGGAAGGAGCCATTCAGAAAACTCTGAAACAACAGTCAAGATCAGTTTAGTTTTTTCGTCAATTCAATTTGATTTGTATTTCTATGTCCACACAAGGGCTTTTCTGTGGGAATTCTCCTTTCAATTGTTGACCATCTCATAAGTCGAAGTTGAATGGATTAGTAGATTGAGTACTCTTTTGTTTAGGCACTTTTACAAATTGAATGGATTGGCCCAGAAAGTTCCATTTGTCTGAAGTGCTGCTGATCTTTAGTAGTGGTTTATGAAAATGGAAGAGTGATTTCTTATTTAAGTTGCATTTACTTGTATGCCAAGAGATTAATAATTTCTTATTGAAGGTGCATGTACTTATATGCAATTAGAAGCAATCAGAAATATTGGATTTTATAAAGTCCTGGATCGTTTGATGTCTTCCCAAAACTTTTTCTGGTGCAGGATCGAGATGAGAGCACTGAGAGTCTTGATAAAGGTTTTCCTGTTGTCTCCTTTTCAATTGGTGACTCAGCAGATTTTTTGTATGGAGATAACAGAGACACTGATAAGGCCGAGAAACTGATTTTGCAATCTGGTGATGTTCTGATATTTGGTGGCAAATCTAGGCTTATATATCATGGGGTACCAACCATTATACCAAACTCAGCCCCAAAGTATCTGGTTGATGATGCAAACCTTCGTCCAGGACGTCTAAATCTTACTTTCAGGAAGTATTGAACATAATTTTTACCACCATTGCCATCAATAGGTAGTTCCAAACTGCTTCTTAACTCTTTACAAAGCAACTGCAAGCGCGTGAGAGGAGTTGGTAGTTAATCTTTGTTCCATGTTTTGTAAGGCATTATTGAGTGGACAGCAAACATTTTGTGGCTATTAGGTTTGTATATATTTCTAGGAAGTATACTATGGCTGCTCATGTTAAACTCAGGAAGCTAAAGGTTTTGTTCAGGACTCTTACGGGTGGTATGCTCCATCTGTGTTTGGAACATAATGTATCTTTTTAGCAAATGAAAATCTTTAATCATAAAAAAAGTTTGGTAAGACAACAAGGATCTAATATTCTCATTCTCCTTCCCTGTTGAATTGAATGTTGCCCGATTATGCTGAATCATGTGATGCATCTGTTGCAACCTCAGATCAAGCGATTTGTCAGTAATTAAATGTTGAATATTGACTTTAGTGTCTAGGCAGTCGTAAACCAAGGGTCTCACACCACATTGTGAAATATTTATTTTTAAAATTTTAAATACAAATGTAAATAATAAATATATCTCATCAATGCCTTCTACCTCAAAACATCTTCATAGAATCTTGCCTTGAATATCTAAGGATTTTTACCAAAAAAGAATCCTCTTAAGGCAAAAAAATAAAAGAGTTCTCTTAAATCTCAATTTTAGGGTTCAATCCCTCGTTCGGTTATACTTCAAGTCTTTGGGTTAAATATTGCTCCCAACAAATTTGATCAATTTCAGTTGATTTTTAGGGTGCTTCTGACAACACCCCATAAGGCTACCAAATTTATAAGAATTTGATGTTCTAAAGGAGCTGAAGACAATTTGAATGTGTACTGCTTTCAAATTTGAATTTGACATCAGTAAGCAGTAGGAGCAGTCGAGTGATGAAGTTCTTCAATTCCCACTGTCATCTTCAGGACCCAAGAGTCTACCACTTAGCTCCCCAACTCATTCAAACAGCTCAACGCTCTGGTGTACTTCGATTTGCAGTCAATGGGATCACTGAGAAAGATTGGCATCTGATCAAGGAGATGAGAGGAGCCCCAACTAGTTGAATACGTTGAGAGATTTGTTTGAGACTACACCTTCTGCAGCAGTTGGTGAAATAGGCTTGGACAAAGGCTCAAGAGGAAAAGAGGTGAATTTCACAGATCAAGTTCAGGTTTTCTCCCAACAACTTGAATTTGCGAAAGAGTTACATAGACCGGCTTCAGTTCATTGTGTTTATGCCTTTGGTGAGCTGCTAGAAATAATGCAAAATGCAGGGCCTTTCCCTTCTGGTGTAATTCTTCATTCATATCTAGGCTCTGCTGAGATGGTTCCAGGATTGGCAAAGCTTGGAGCTTATTTTTCCTTTTCTTGTTTTCTTATGTCCATGAAACCACAGAAGGCAAAGCAGATGCTGAAGTCAGTACCCACTGAAAGGATTTTGTTGGGGACGGATGCACCTGCTGCACTACCAAGATCAAACTCAGGTTCTGTACTGTGGTTTGAAGGAAGTGCTTCTGACCTGCAAGGCCCTCAGAACCATGGGGGAAATTCAACTCCAAACTTTGATGGTAGCCCCAACGATCCATTTCAAGTTTCGGGAGATAGCTCAACAGTGCCGAAGGAAGCACTGAATCACCCAGCTAACATACGTAATGTTCTTAGTTATGTTGCATCTTTGCTTGAGATGCCGGAAGAAGAACTTGCAGAAATCAGCTACAGAAATGCAAACCGCTTGTTTTCTTATCTGGGCTCAAAAATACCAAGAGAAGATTAGCTTGTTGTGTTTGCCTTTCCTTGTCTAGCATGAAGCTCATGAGAGCAGAATGTTGCAGTAAATTTCAGTTATCTCTAATTGTTCTCTTATTCTTTTATGTGAAAAATGCAGAGAACTTTAGTTTGATTTCAACAACCATCTTGAGAGCACCCATAAAAAATTTGTTTTACATAGTTGCTGCAGATGGCTTATAGCTTCACACTTATACAAGGAAAAGGTTAACAAAATAAATAAAATGAAATAAAATTTACTGCAAAATAATTCACAAAATGTAACTAGTACTTGCAAAGAACAATGGTTTTGTTTATGAATAACAATATCATAAAATCTGAAAGTATTATTAAAAAATTATATATATGTATGTATATATATATATATATGGCAACCTATCTTTTTTTATAATGTTGGAGATAGAAACAGAAACTCAATCAAAGGGAGATGCTAAAAGAAAGGGGGTCAATTTCATTGATGGCTAAGGAGGTATTTTGTAAATCTGAACTCTAATATCTGAAAAACTGAACTCTACAGGGGGGGCGGGGGACCTCTCTTTTATTATAATGTTGGAGATAGAAACAGAAACTCAATCAAAGGGAGATGCTAAAAGAAAGGGGTTCAATTTCATTGATGGCTAAGGTGGTATTTTGTAAATCTGAACTCTAATCTCTGAAAAACTGAGCTCTACGGGGGGGCCAATTTCATTGGATAGCATTATTATATATAATAGAGTACGAAAGTTCTTCCTGGGTACAGGATACTTTTTTATTTACAGAACATGCTAACCAAGCAAAGTTATATTTAAGTTCCTATTTGCATGCATAAACTTCTCATCAAATTCGACCTCCTGCAGCTGTAATTCATCAAAAAGAAACATAACCTTCCAGCTAAGATTTTTCATTCTCCATGAGATCTCCCAGCTAAGCTGCTGTGCATCTGCAAAAATATGACTTCTTTATAACCTTTATTTAGAGCTTCCTTCAAAGCTTCTATTGCTGCTATGATTTCTGCTTCATAGCTGCTGTTGACGTTGCATGGTGGTTGGTGAAGCTGCAGCGTAAATAAACTTACCTGAAATCTAAAGCTGCTCTGTTAGTTTCTTCGATGAAAGAGCCATCGGTGATTATTTTTACATACTGGACATCATTCCAATAATCAATAATATGGGATTTTTGCTGTGATTCAAGTAAAAAAATTTTCATCCTTTGACCGCAATTGGTAGCCTTCTAATAGCCTGCAAAAAAAAAAAAAACAAAAAAACCTCTTGTTGCGGAAATCGAATAAGCAGGTAAAGGAGTCAGAGATAGAGAGCCTCACTGCCTCACAGAAGAGAGACTGCTCTCTCACAGCACATCCGAAAACATCTCCGCATTGCTTCACCGTATCACAATTGTTTTCTGTTCTCACTCATTCTTTCTCTCTTATCCGATGAATTATTCTTGTATATAAAATCAAGGGAAATTGTTTAAGACTCATCATCACTTTTTTTAGCATTTCTCTTAAACTCACCGTAACTTTTTAAAATGTTTAAAACTCACCATATCATAAATTTTTATTTTTCAAAACTCACCTTACGTTAAAGCACCATTAATATTCACTAGTAGAAATTGTCTATCTCACCATAAATACAATTCTCATGACCAAGTTGCCCCTAACTAGCAAATTAGAGAAAAAGACTCATTTAGGCTCTCTCTCTCTTTTTCTCTCTCTCTCTTTCTAGTATTTTGAAATATTTGTAATGTATTGTAAATTTTTACAACTTGAATCTAGAATATAAATCTCCATCGAGGGCTTCATAAATGTGCAAAAATATTTTCATAAATTTTTAATTATTTGTCTTAAATAATTTTTGAAAATTTATTACAATATTCCTTGGATGCCATGTCTAATTTTTGTTTGATTCTGCTAAAAATTTTTATCATTTTATTAGTTTGTCTGCAATTTTTTATTTTTCTAAAATTTATATATTTTTTAAAAAACGAGCATTTCTTTTTTTTTTTTTGAAATTTTTGCTTTTTTAGTTGATATATATAGATATATAGAAAGAGAGAGAAAGAGAGATTTTTAATTTTTATCACTTTATGTATTTTTTGTAATTGATTTTTTTTGAAAAATTTATCATGTTCTTGTTTTCTACAATTTATTGCTTTTTTCTATATAATTTTTATCATTTTATGTATATTTGCAATTTTTATTTTTATCCAATCTTTATATTTTTTGAGTTTATTTTGTCTTTTTCAATTTTCAATTTTCTTTTTTTTTGCATTTTAGTGTTTTGTTATAATTTACAATGTTTTTTATAATTTCTGTTTTTTTACATTGTTCTAATTTCTACGATTCATAAATTTTCTTGTATTTTTTGTTATTTATTTGCAGTTTCACTGTTTTTTATAATTTTTTATGTTTTTTTACAATTTTTATTTTCTGATTTTATTTTTCAATTTCTATAGTTTCTATAATTTAAAAATACTTTTTCTTTGCTTTTTTATGTTTTTTTGATAAAATATTAAAATATATATATTATATTTTTCTATAAAAAAATAATATATTAATATATTAACAATCATTAATCTGTTTAACGTCAAGTTACTGACATGGTGAGAATCGTGAGATTTAGACATTTTCTAAAAGTTACGGTGAGATCAAGAGAAATACTGAAACGTCATGGTGATTTTATACAATTTCCCTAAAATCAATTACTATCTTGAGGGCCGGAAAAGCAAGATTGAAGCATCACCAGAGGCAAGCGACTGGTTGAATCGTGGTTTTGAGGCATCACCAGACTGGATTATCTCTAATTCTGTTTTTCCTTGGAACTTATATTTCAAGACTAGGTAAGGATTCTTGTTCTTTTGCTTTGACAAATCAGCTGGAACAGAACATAGGCTTGAATCTATAATCGAGGTAAAGTCAACCCACTGTTTATCCTCTTTATATGAGGACAATTTTAGGGTTCAATCCCTCGTTCAGTTATACTTCAAGTCTTTGGGTTAAATTGCTCCCAACAAATTTTATCAATTTCAATTGATTTTTAGGGTGCTTCTGACAACACTCTATAAGGCTGTCCAAATTTATAAGAATTTGATGTTCTAAAGGAGTTGAAGACAATTTGAATTTGTGTACTGCTTTGAAATTTGAATTCGACATCAGTAATTTGGAGCAGTAGGAGCAGTCGAGCGATGAAGCTCTTCGATTCCCACTGTCATCTCCAGGACCCAAGAGTCTACCACTTAGCTCCCCAACTCATTCAAACAGCTCAACGCTCTGGCGTACTTCGATTTGCAGTCAATGGGATCACTGAGAAAGATTGGCATCTGGTCAAGGAGATGAGTGAACAGCATTCCAGTGTAGTTCCGTGCTTCGGTCTCCATCCCTGGTTCGTTTCTGAGAGGAGCCCCAACTGGTTGAATACGTTGAGAGATTTCTTTGAGACTACACCTTCTGCAGCAGTTGGTGAAATAGGCTTGGACAAAGGCTCAAGAGGAAAGGAAGTGAATTTCACAGATCAAGTTCAGGTTTTCTCCCAACAACTTGAACTTGCGAAAGAGTTGCATAGACCGGCTTCAGTTCATTGTGTTCGTGCCTTTGGTGAGCTGCTAGAAATAATGCAAAATGCAGGGCCTTTCCCTTCTGGTGTAATTCTTCATTCATATCTAGGCTCTGCTGAGATGGTTCCAGGATTGGCAAAGCTTGGAGCTTATTTTTCCTTTTCTGGGTTTCTTATGTCCATGAAACCACAGAAGGCAAAGCGGATGCTGAAGTCGGTACCCACTGAAAGGATTTTGTTGGAGACGGATGCACCTGATGCACTACCAAGATCAAACTCAGGTTCTGTACTGTGGTTTGAAGGAAGTGCTTCTGACCTGCAAGGCCCTCAGAACCATGGGGGAAATTCAACTCCAAATTTTGGTGGTAGCCCCAACGATCCATTTCAAGTTTCGGGAGATAGCTCAACAGTGCCGAAGGAAGCACTGAATCACCCAGCTAACATTCGTAATGTTCTTAGTTATGTTGCATCTTTGCTTGAGATGCCGGAAGAAGAACTTGCAGAAGTCAGCTACAGAAATGCAAACCGCTTGTTTTCTTATCCGGGCTCAAAAATACCAAGAGAAGATTAGCTTGTTGTGTTTGCCTTTCCTCATCTAGCATGAAGCTCAAGAGGGCAGAATGTTGCAGTAAATTTCAGTTATCTCTAATTGTTCTCTTATTCTTTTATGTGAAAAATGCAGCGAAGAACTTTAGTTTAATTCACAAAATGTAACAAGTACTTGCAAAGAACAATGGTTTTGTTTATGAGTAACAATATCATAAAATCTGAAATTATTATTAAAAAAATTACATATATATATATATATAGAGAGAGAGAGAGAGAGAGAGAGAGAGAGAACTAGCAACCTATCTTTTATTATAATGTTGGAGATAGAAACAGAAACTCAATCAAAGGGAGATGCTAAAAGAAAGGGGGTCAATTTCATTGATGGCTAAGGTGGTATTTTGTAAATCTTAACTTTAAACTCTGAAAAACTCTGAACTCTACTGGGGGGGGGGGATTTTAAAAACATCTCCGAGGAATGAATTATCATAAACTTTTCTACTTTTTTGGAGTATGTTCTTTTTCTAACAAAAAACTAATTTCATTGGATAGCATTACTATATAAAAAGAGTACAAAAGTTCTTCCTGTGTACGGGATACTTTTTGATTTACAGAACATGATAACCAAGCAAAGTATATTTAAGTTCCTATTTACATACATAAACTTCTCTTCGAATTTGACCTCCTGCAACTGTAATTCATAAAAAAGAAACATAACCTTCCAGCTAAGATTTTTCATGCTCCATGAGACCTCCCAGCTAAGCTGCTGTACATCTGCTAAAATATGACTTTTTTTATAACCTTTATTTAGAGCTTCCTTCAAAGCTTCTGTTACTGCTATGATTTCTGCTTCATAGCTGTTGTTGACTTTGCATAGTGGTTCGTGAAGCTGCAGTGTATATAAACTTAAAACCTAAAGCTGCCCTGTTAGTTTCTTCAATGAAAGAGCCATTGGTGGTTATTTTTACATACTGGACATCATTCCAATAACCAACAATATGGGATTTTTGCTGTGATTCAAGTAAAAAATTCTTCATGCTTTGGCTGCAATTGGTAGCCTTCTAATAGCCTGCAAAAAAAAATATCCTCTTGTGGGAAGCATTGATTATCATGAATGACTTCATTTCTGTTTTCTCATTACAGCCACAAAATTATCATGAGTTTTCCAAATATATTACTTCTTTCTAAGGAAGAAGTTTGTTTGGAGATTTTAGACCACCATTCGTCTATAATTTTATGCATTGGCTGCTCTGTTATTGAATCAGGATTCAATCCCAGTGAGCCTGGCACCAGATAGCTTTGGCATAGGTACATTTGAAAAATAGATGATGAAAGGATTCTTGGTGTTGCTTGCAGACTGCAAACTGAATAGCCTTCTGATAGCACGGGCCTGATTTTATCTTTTGTCAAAACTCCCCAAAACAGTTTCCAACAAAATTTGAAATCCACTTTGGTGTTCCAAATCCTTGCTCATCTATTGTTAGTATTAGAAGAACATGGTTGAAGGTGAACAAAAGTCTGATAACCCAATTTAACAGAGTATTTGTCACTGTTATTTCTCTTCCATGGTAGTTTGTCCCTATTCTAATTGCAGCTAATTCTTAACTCTGTAATCTGATTAACTGTATTTTGATCAAATAACTCCTGCAATTTTCGCAGATTCCAAATTCCATTTGGTAGAATTAAGGGGGTGTTCGTAATGTGGTTTGAGCATGTTTCAGTCCATTTTGGAACGAGCCATGGCAAAACACATTCTTTTAGGGGCATGGCTCGTTTCAAAATGAGCTGCGGCTGGTTCTAGAATGCAAAATCTCACATTATTCCAGCCACGGAAAAATCTCGTTTTCTGGAACATGCCACACCCCCTTGTCACCCTTCTTTGATTCTGTGCTTCTCAACCCTTCTCACCAACTGCAGACATTCAACTGCTGCAGCCTCTTCTCACCATTGACCGTTGCTTTTTATCAAAGAAACCCTATTCCTACAGTAGTTTTTCAGGTATGATCTGCTTTTTTTTTTCCATTTGCTTTCTCGTAGATCTGTGGATGAAGAAACTCATCCATGGCTTTTTCTGTGTTTTTCTTAGTTCACTAAAGACTGATTGTTTCTTCTCCACTGAAGAAACTTTCATGTGTGTTCTGGTATGTAGATCTGTGATTCTTTTATATATTTTCTTCAAAAAAATACCAAGCCATTGTTTTCTTTTTTTGTTTTTTTTTGTTTTTGTTTCTGGTAGATCTGTGTTTTTTGTAGTTTGATTGTCCATTGCATCTTCTTCCTATAAATATTGGTGTGTATAGAATGAGATTTCCATAGATCTGCAATTCTTTTCATATTGTCTGGTTGTAGATTTGCAATATTTTTTCATATTTCTGGTATTAAAGGCAAATATGGTACCAAAAAATGTATTAAAGGCAAGTAGAAAATATCATTTTTCTCTGAGTTTTTTTCCCCTAAAGTTATAGTATTTTAGTCAAGAAAAATTCTAGAAGCCTAAGACCCTATTCGCACTTTTTTTAGTAGTATAGATAGATTTGCAGTTAGTATGTAATACACATATATACTTTTCCTTTATGTTATTATCTGAAGTGCCCATTCACTTTTATCTTTCTCCTAAACTTACTCTGACTCTTAGTCAACTCTCTTAGTTTCCTTTGGGTTATATTCTATTGACTGGTCAAGCAGTCCTTTCTGCTGTTCTATTATCTTCTCTTTTTCTTCTTAAAATATCAGAAAAATCTAGTAACTAGAAGGGAGCTCTTAGTTACCAATTGAGAGGTAAAAAACTGATGAGTTGCATGCTTAGTTGGTACCTTAATTGGGTTGTTTACTCATTTGGCCTGCTCAGGGTTTAAGGGTTGTGATTTTTTTCTTTGTTTTGGCTCAGGCTTTATCTGTCATATACTTTCATTTCTGTTGTTAGAGTCTTCTAGCTGTAGGCTCTCATTTATGAAATCAATTCTGTTCTCACTGATAAGACCATTCCATTATACCATAAGAGGGAATGTGGTTTAAAATGTGCTTAAATATCCTAATATTTCCACATGTTTCCATTTCCATAGGTACCGGCATGAAATATTACTGGAATTGATATATTCCTCAATGAAAGTTACTTCTGTTTTGTCTAGTACAATAGATGGTATGATAACATCAATTGGTACATCTTAGATATGTGGAGTAGCAGTGTTATTGCCACATAATGGACATGATTATCACTTTGAGTCAGCTTGAAATATTTTTAAACATGAAGTTCAATCTTAGTTTTTATTATATAATAAATTATTTGGTTGGTCCATTAGAACCATTTGCACTTTCTATGAGTTCAAGTTTTGCTTGAACTTACTCAGTCATGTAGATTTCATGATTTGGAATAAGATAATAATTTAAAAGGGTTTACCTATGAATGTTTTATAATTACATAAAACATAAAGTAGATTTCTATTTTTTTTTTTCGTATTTCACAATGTCTCCACCATGTCTATTAATGTTACAAGTATTTCCATACGATGTTTCCAACATTTTCAACATGTTTCCTACATTTGGATGACCGAGTGACCGACATATCCACCAACATCAACATTTTAAACCTTGAGAGGGAGTATGCCTCTACCTTATGGAAACACATAGTAGGAAAGAGAGAAGATAGGCCTTTTAAATGTAAGTACTTTCAATATTCTGTCATTTCAATGTGAAAGACCTTTTTACCTACTACAAGTTTGATGTTAAATTTTAATAGTAAGTAGCAGTTCCTAAAGCAAGTACATACCATTACTATTATATTGGTTGTATAAATGCCAAACTCTTCATTTAGGTCCAGCTATTGCAGGATTGGAAGATTGTATATCTATAATAAACTCCTACAAAGTTAAATAAACAAAGCATACTACTTTTGGTTAACTAAACTTTTTATATTCTTCACTCCAGATAGGCCTGGGGTTTAGAAAGGTAGGAATAATTCAGGTAGGAGTAGTATGAAAACCTCCAATTTGCTGAAATCCATGTTCCATTGCCAACCTCTGAATATTAAAAAAACAGGCAGCTGTTGAAGAGGATTTCTTTCCTTACATATTCGATTGTTATATTCAGATTTAACTTGCTATCATGCCATTAACAGAGTTTAGATCACTATATATGAATCTGTTAACAGGTTTGGTAGTCTCCATTAACCTAAAGCATGCAAATTTTGTACAGGTGTATTTTACAATGCAAACACAATATGCAGTGGCCTTGTTGCTAATTTATTATCATGTTGGATGTGTGGATTTGGATTTTGGTAGTACAAAGTTTTTGTTCCATGGGTTTTCATGTGCAAAGTTATGCAAAAAATTGCCACCACACAGTTGTTCAATCCAATTAATAGGATTATCAAGTGCAGGCATCTTCATTTCGTTCTAATTTTAACATGCCCATTGTTGCATGTTGTTCATGGGCCAATGTGGCTTCAGGTATATTCATAGGACAGCAACCCAAATAGGCCATTTTGCTTAGAAAAAATGCAACCCCAAAACCATCTGATGGTGGCTCAATTGTAGGTTTTTTGGCTTGTTGAAACGGAGACCTGGGATCAAATCCCACTGCCACCAGGGTCGGAGGTTATTCAAAAGAGAGAGAGAGAGAGAGAGAGAGAAGATATCAACCCCAAAACTAGCACTTCACTCAGTAGCTTGACAGGGTATCACGCTAGGTTCACTGTCAGGTTTTCCCCATCCAATGATACAGTAATTGGGTTACTGTGCTGTGTGGGGAACCATGTTTGCACAATTGTTCTTTTTGGATTAGCTTAATTGATTGACAGGCTTCGTTTGAATCACGTTTAAGTGACAAATTCAGGTCGGATTAATTCAAGTTCTTCACATTTGTTGGTCTTTGCCAAGATGGTGATAAATTTAGAATTACGCATCTTTGGTAGAATGAGAATTATATGATAGGTGTATCACAATGGAAGAAGTAAATAATTTACATCTGTAATTTGTTCTGTTATTTTGTACTCTTTACAGCCAAACAATATCAATACAATTGAGAATACATATGAATCGAATTTGCATTTTGGTCCAAAGGCAAATGTGCATTTGCATCAACAATGGGATTTTTTGCACTCTTACCAAACGCAGCCTTATTTACA